AACATTTTATAAAATTTGTATACAAACCATTTTTACCCGGGAATTGGGAAAAGTACTGAACGAGGCCGGGGGGGCGGATCGTGATCGCGATCGTGATGCCCTCCCCGTGACTTAAACTTTGTTTGAAATTGCCACCTCATCCATGCCTTGTTATTATTCTTGGGCTGCTTGGCTTTTTGCCTACCTTGTGCTGCTTTTTGCCTACCCTAACTTTTTTATCTTCATGTGTGCTCTGCACTTATTTCAGTGAGCGGCGCCCGTTTTGTTAAACTAATTGGTGCCTCAGATTATATAGAATCTTGTAATTTTCGCCGTCTATGTTTTTTTTTTATTGCAAGGCCGGGGCACTTCGCTCCTTTTGAATATATATCTGCTCACGCCCAAATTTGTTGGGGCTTAACCGCTTCGGCCCCTCTGGCCCCTTTGTTTGCATTCTTTCGGTAGGCTGCACTAATTTTTCCATGCATTTTATTTTCCAATTTTTAAAACTTTTATGCCCTACGGGGTTTTTTAAAATGTTCAAATGCTCATGCATCATTTCTATTATTCTTGCCACCAGGGCTTAAATCCTGCTTTTATTGACTGCAAACCTGCACTCTATTGTATGTTAAACCAAATACTCTTACCTGTCTGTAAAATTTATTGATCAATAAACCGGCAATATAGTTGAGCTTTCGCCCTCGGACCCACACCCTTTGGGTTGCCGGGTGGTAGGTAAGCAACCGTGGCAGTGATTTTTGCCAAACCGCCGAGCAGCGATCAGGTGGTCACACTTTCAACTAAGACTCTCTAAAATACACCCAAACCTATCTCCAAGTTCTCCGTCGCTTTGGCGCTTCGCCTCACGAAGCCCCGCCCATCAAGATGCCAGTTCTCTGGGTACAACAACCGGAAGGCGGGATCAACTCCAGCCATGTCTGCGAGGAGGAGAATCACACGCGGCAAGAAATGGCCTTGGCCCGTCTGCAGCGCCACCTTAGAAGCAAGCATCGAAACGTCGGAGATTGGTCTACCATCTTCGTCTGCTGCGACACCCTCTACTCGACAGCAGTCAAGCCGTACATCTGCAAGGAGGCCAACAAGCATTGGCATGATGAACACCGCGAGCCCCCGGCGTGAGCGCCCTCTCAGAAGATGACCTACAGCGGCGTGTCATCCGGGTGGCCAATCAAGCAGCCCGCAGGGGCCCCCCCTCTCCATCGTTGGACTCTCCCGGGTCGAGTCCCCGTCTGCTAAGCGCCCGGTCTGCCGCCGCCCAAGCAAGGAACGCTGCCCACCGCCGCAGACACCCGACTCGCCTGAGCTGACCCCACCGGCCGTCCTGCTGATGTGAGCCCCGGACCCGCTGCTGCGAGGCCCGCGCGAAGACTCAGGCAGCCCGCCTCACCAAGCCCTGCAGGCTTGCCTACCAGGCCCGGCGCCAGCTGCGACTTCCCCAGCACTCCGGACCAGGGGGGCTCTCCCCTCCTGCCCCGCGAAGGGGAGCCGCACGACGCCGGACCGTCGCCCAGGTTGGGACCACGTTCACCCAGGTCACCACCAAGCCCGCCTGCTAGTTTCCGCGGGACGGTCACCCAAACCAGCCCGCTACCGAGGACACCAACACCAGAGCCTCGGTAGAACAGCCTGAGCTCCTCTCCGAGTCCCGCAAGCCGTCTGCCTGGCAGTCGGCTTGGCTCAAAAAACTTGGGAAATCGACATGGCCCGAGTTTCAACTCCACATCAAGGACATCACCAAGGAGCTAGCGTTGCCCTCACGCCAAGCCCGCCATGGAAGAGGACCCCCGCGGCGCCCCACTGAGAAGTTATTTAGGACACTCACAGCTGTAACAAGAATAATTAACCACAGTTGAAAAGTCATCGAATAAGAATCTAAAAGATTTCACAAACGTTTATCAAAAACAAAATTCAGTATATACACTCATGATGATAGAAGATTGAGGAATTCACTATTGGTTGGTGGAGAACACGATCCACCAATAGCTGGGGTAGCAAAAGAAGGACTAGGGACACTGCCTGCTGCCAACAGGGCAGGACTTAAATGGGTCTCTGAAAGATATGACAAGCTGGACTGGGGTTGAATGTCCGAGCCAACTGTACTAGTGACAGGTAGAGGGGCAATGGGATGACTGAATGCCTCAGTGGCATCACACTCACAAAAATGTTTTCTTGCCGCAACCGAAATCTACTTGAGCCAAGAATATTTTATTCTTGTCACTCCTACAAGAATTCGTATTCTTGGCCCAAGAATATTTTTTTCTTGTGTCAATCCTCCATAAAAATCTTACTTCAAGAATTATTTTCTTATCCCAAGAATATTTAGTCTTGGCTGTAATAAGTGAAATAGTGCCCCCGGAGACAGTCTTGAACTCTGTCTCACAGTGGGTTATGACGGTAGTGACAGCTGGTTCGATTCTCCTTAATGCAACTCACGCCTTCAATTGGCACTGCGGGGATTCGAACCCTGCTCGTGTCAACTCAGCGCTGAAGCGTAAGCAGTAACCGTTTGAGCTATGAAGCCACATGCGTGACCGTGTCACCAGCGCTGCCTTTGTACCTCAGGTAGCCCGGTCCTCTCGCGCGCTCCACCCTAATCCGTCCGTCCCCCCTCCACCCACGCCCGCCCGGCCTAGCATAAGCACAAGCATATTATTTTCTTGGGCTGAGCAGAATGTATCAAGAATATTTTCTTCTTGTGAGAAGAAAACCATGTTTCTTCGAACGAGAAAAATCGTCTTCACTCGAGAAAATTATTCTCGTCCCAAGTAAAATTGAGTCAAGAATATTTTTGGGATTGGGGCAAGAAAACATTTTTGTGAGTGCAGGATTGAAACCTTGAAAAGATACACAACAATCAGAAAGGCAATGTCCAAAATTGATAGGGCCTATTTGAAGACGATGCACTTGCCCTCTGGTGCTAGAGTTACATCTCCTTCAACAATAGGATCGTCGTAAATATATCCCATTGACCAGTAGTTTTCCCAATTGGTGCCACTTCCTAGACCTTTTTTGCAGTTACGGAATAAGTTTCTTAACTTTTCTTTGACTTAAAATAAGTTACAATTGTAGCCATGTTTATCCTTCAGTTGACTGGCCAATAATTGGAACATTGCGTCTGGAACGTTTTTAGTGTTGCGCAGCTACTTGCGGTACGGCATGCAGATCTGCAGCTATCTGTAGCAATCTATTCCCTTCCATTGCGCTCCAGTTTTACCTCCAGCAGATTTACTGGAGTCAGCAGCGGAGTGAGGCATGGAATGAGCTGGACACGCCCGAGCGCGCTCCGCCAAACGTTCGCAACGCTTGCGGGAGCATGCGTCAAGCGTTGGCTTAATTGAACATAGCTCTGATCTCTTCCCCACCGGAGGGCCTGCAACAGCTGCTCAACCTGTGCGGCGACGTCGCCGACTGGATTGGCCTAGCCTTCAAGCCAGCCAAGTGAGCGTCGCTGCACGTCAAAGAACGCCGAGTCCAGCCGACCCCATTCCCCATCTCCGGGGTCGCCATGCCGGCCCTCCGTGAGGGAGAGTCCTACCAACATCTGGGCGTGCCGACGGGATGGAAGGTGGACCAAAGCCCGGTGGGCGTCATAAAGACCTGCGCCGTGGATGTCAAGAGCATAGCAACCAGTCTCCTGGCGCCCTGGCAGAAGCTGCAAGCGGTAAGGACATTTATCACCAGTCGCTTACATTACAGCTTTCTTACCGCCAGGGTGCCCAAGAAGGACTTGGAGGGACTTGAGAAGGAGATTAAGAAGTTCGCCAAGACCGTCCTGGACATCCCCACGCGCGCGTCTGCCGAGCTGGTCTACCTTCCTCCGTCGTGGGGGAGCGCCGGGCTGGTGCCCCTCTCCATTACGGCGGACATCTCGTCGCTCGCCCATGCCTTCCGTCTGCTCAGCTGCTAGCTGCCCGGACCCGGTCGTCGCGGAAGACGCCGCGGCGAGCCTGTGCCTGGTGGTCCGACGCAAGCCGGGCCGCAACACACCGGCGTGCTGTGCGGAGGATGCGGCCTATCTGTCAGGTGGCAGTGACGGCGCGTGGTCCAGAGACGGAGGCGACATCGCTTCAGTGCGGTCAACTGCGTGGAGGGCAACTCAGCTCCTAGGCAAGCTGATGCCCGGCCTCCGCTGGGGCTTCTCGGAGGCCAAGAACACCTTAGAGCTCCACGTCCCGGCTGATGGACGGGTCACCATAGTGAACTCCGAGTCTCGCAGCAACTCATCAGGGTCATCCGCCAGGCTGCGCAGTCGGCCTACCGGGCCGCACTCCAAAAAAAGCCGGACCCAGGAAAGGTACTCCGTCACTCTAAAAAAAATTAATACAAAAATTTGTAATTTGGATATGCAGTTTTTTCAGCATCCATGATACAAAAAATTGTATTCTTTTGGATATAAA